TCCGCGACCTCGCCGAGGTTCGGCGGCGAAAACAACGTACACACACCTTCACTTTCGAAGCTCCGCCTAGGTCGGGGATGTCCCTCTGCAGGAGAAATAGTCAAGAATAGAAAATGGTCAGGTGACGATTTGTCGTACTTTTTTGATTATTTTTGAGCATTGGTTGACTATGTTCTATCTTTCTCACCAAATCCGCCTGCAGGAGGACATGCCCGATCTGAAGCTCCGCGCGGGTTTCTCGTCTCGGCGTTGTCCCCTCCACCCCCTTGGCGGCGCCCTTGGCGCCGCCCCCTGGCGCGCTCCGAGCGCCAGGAAGGGCTTCAGCGCCGATGCAAGAAGTCCGAGCGGGTCCCCGAAAAGTTTATGTTTGTGGCGTGTATGTTGTTCTTTCCGAGGCGTCCAGGCAGCTCGACGACCACCACGCGGAGCCAAGGGTGGCCGAACCGCCCCCGCCCCCCATGGCAAGCCGACCCCCTCCGTGACGATCCCCGTCTGCCTCGCTCCGAGGCGCTCGCGGGGCGGCTGGAGGGGCGTCTGCGAGGGCGAGGGGGTCGTCACGGCAGAGAGGTCACGTTGAGGCGGGCCCTTGCAGGGCTCATTTCGATTCCTCCGATTCGATTGATTCGTTTCGATTTCGATGGCTTCCGATTCCGATTCGATTCGACGTCTACATCGGATTCCGATTTGGCTTCCGATTTCTCAATGGAGGCTTTTCAGGCTGCAGATTTCGGCCGATTAGACTTTTCCCGACGCGGCTGCCGATTTCCGGCGATCCGATTCATTTCGATCGCCGATCCGACTTATCGATTCGATTCTGGGCTCTCTTGCCTTTGGGAGTCAGAGAGATCGAAGAAGTGCAACTGCATAGCCAGAAGTTTTGGACAGGGGTCGACCGAAACGGTTTTCTGGCAATCTCGTGGGCCGATTTCGTTTCGGTTTCGTTCTGCAGCAAGGGCGGATTGAAGACAAAACGAGGAAACACTAAAGCAACACTGAAAACGAAACACGCTGTTTAGGTCGATCCCTGGTTTTGGGAGCTCCGCTCAGATTTCCTGGGTCTGCGCTGGACCCCCTTGGCAGCACCTCCGTCGCCGCCCCTGGCGCTCTGCGCGCGCCAGGGAGGGGGGTCCAGCGCCGATGTAGGCAATCCGCGCGGAGCTCCGAAAGTTTACCATTGTGCAGCATTCTGCTACTCTCTTCGCCGCAGAAAAAACGACGACACCCTCCAATGGATTGTTCCTTGGCCTTGGGGGAGGGTGGCGGTGTATAAATCACCACTGGGAGCCAGCGACTATGTACACCGTCGCCCTCCCTGAAGGTACGGGCAAAGTTCGTCGGAGGGCAGCTGCGTATAGATTTTCATTGCGTGCTTTCAGAGAACTGGAACGAGAGTGGCCTCCGCGGCCGAGAGCCCATCGAAGGGGGGGGTGGCGCGACCCCTGGGTGGTGGGCCCTTGCACTGGACGACGCTCAGGCATGCAACCGCCCAGCGGTTCACCGAGCGCGTTGCACTACTCGCAAACGTCCGACAAAAAGCAAGCATGCCTTCCTCTATGTATTGGAGCGTGCATCCCCCGCGGCAGATTCGGGCCACTTGCGAGCAGCTATTCTGCGAGTCGTGGAACGCGCTTGTCGAGAGGAGGGGTCTCCCCCGAAGGGGGCTCTCGGCGGCGGCGGGCGCCCCGCCCGAGGGGCTCTCCCCCCCCTCGCGAGGAGGCGCAGCGGCGCCGCGGCGACCTCGAGGCCCGCGCCGGCAGGCTGCGGGCCTCGTGCGCGCGGGCCCGCGAGGCGGCTGCCAGGGCGGAGCGCCGCAGCAGCCGCGCGGCGCGGCGGCACGCGGCGGCCGCCGCGGGCTCGGCCGCGCCGGGCTCGGGCGCGGCGCCCGAGGGCGGGGCGTGGCTCGAGCTGGAGTCCTCGAGGGCGGCGCAGCGCCGGCTGCAGGCGTCCGTGGGGGAAGGGAGAGAGCAGCATGGAAGCACGGGCCTGTGGCGGTCCGCGCGGGTGTCTGGGATCTGCACCGAACCTGCCCCTTTTGGTGCGTGGAGCACGCCAGGGGCGGCGACGGAGGCGCCGCCAGGGGGGTCCAGCGCAGATCCAAGAACTCCGTGCGGCCCGTCACGAGTTGATGTTGATGCAGTTTTTCTCCCTCCAGTGAGGGGAGGGAGCAACAGATACATGCCGACGCTACTGCTCGCCCTGGAAAGCCCTCGTCGCCGAGGTTTTGGTCAGGGCGCAACCAGAGAGTCTGGGGAGCAGCGGTGTCGGCACCTTGTGGCGCCCGCAAGGCGAGGCTGGACGAGGCGCGGCTGCGCGAGGCGCGCCTGCAGGGAATGCTCTCGGCCGCGCCGGGCGTGGGCATGCACAGGAGGAGCGAGCTGGCCCCGTGCTGCAGAAGCGCCAGCGAGGGCACGGTGGGCGCGTTCATGCAGCTGATCCAGCAGCAGTGGATCCTGAAGGCAAGGGGCCACCTCCCCCTTCCTCCTCCTCCTCCTCCTCCTCC